CCCTCTGAGTCCCTCTGAGTCCCTCTGAGTCCCTCTGAGTCCCTCTGAGTCCCTCTGAGTCCCTCTGAGTCCCTCTGAGTCCCTCTGAGTCCCTCTAAGTCCCTCTGAGTCCCTCTGAGTCCCTCTGAGTCCCTCTAAGTCCCTCTGAGTCCCTCTGAGTCCCTCTGAGTCCCTCTAAGTCCCTCTGAGTCCCTCTGAGTCCTGCTAAACCTCAGCTTGTTCTGGTTCTGCTCTTTGGATTGGATTATGTGAGACCTTATTAAAGCTCAGTTTTGGTTCTGGTTCTGGGTTCTTGGAGTTCTGCCAGGTGCATTCTGGGTCAGGTAGAACTGTGGAAGCTTGTTTGGTCGCAGAGACCCGGGTCAGATCATCAGGTCCAGATAAGTCCAGGTCCCTCAGGATGACGAGGCTTACTTTTTGTCTGCCTGTCTCATTAGGAGTGACTGTGTCGTGTTGTGTGTGACTCTCAGCTACTATCAGGCTAAACTTTAGCTCATATCTATAAAATGCTTTAGCTGCTTGTTTGTTTGCTCAGGATGATTAGCCGAGGCGGCCATCTTGAATCAGGGTTTCTGAGACTCTCTATGAATCTGTCAGGAGATATTTTACTAACAGACTAACAGAAGAGAACTTACATGATACCCGCCCCCTGAGGACTAACAGTTTACCTGTAGACTGACAGTTTACCTGTAGACTGACTGTTTACCTGTAGACTGACTGTTTACCTGTAGACTGACAGTTTACCTGTAGACTGACTGTTTACCTGTAGACTGACTGTTTACCTGTAGACTAACTGTNTAACTGTTTACCTGTAGACTAAGAGTTTACCTGTAGATTAACTGTTTACCTGTGAATTAACTGTTTACCTGTAGACTGACTGTTTACCTGTAGACTAACAGTTTACCTGAAGACTAACTGTTTACCTGTAGACTAACAGTTTACCTGTAGACTAACTGTTTACCTGTAGACTAACTGTTTACCTGTAGATTAACTGTTTACCTGAAGACTAACTGTTTACTTGTAGACTAACAGTTTACCTGAAGACTAACTGTTTACCTGTAGATTAACTGTTTACCTGTAGACTAAGAGTTTACCAGTAGATTAACTGTTTACCTGTAGATTAACTGTTTACCTGTAGACTAACAGTTTACCTGTAGATTAACTGTTTACCTGTAGACTGACTGTTTACCTGTAGACTAACAGTTTACCTGTAAACTAACTGTTTACCTGTAAACTAACTGTTTACCTGTAGATTAACTGTTTACCTGTAGACTAACTGTTTACCTGGAGATTAACTGTTTACCTGTAGACTAACTGCTTACCTGTAAACTAACTGTTTACCTGTAGACTGACTGTTTACCTGTAGACTGACTGTTTACCTGTAGACTGACTGTTTACCTGTAGATTAACTGTTTACCTGAAGACTGACTGTTTACCTGTAGACTAACTGTTTACCTGTAGACTGACAGGTTACCTGTAGACTGACTGTTTACCTGTAGATTAATTGTTTACCTGAAGACTGACTGTTTACCTGTAGACTAAATGTTTACCTGTAGACTAACTCTTTACCTGAAGACTAACTGTTTACCTGTTAATTTAACGGTTTACCTGTAGACTAACTGTTTACCTGAAGTCTAACTGTTTACCTGTAGACTAACTGTTTACCTGAAGACTAACTGTTTACCTGTTAATTTAACTGTTTACCTGTAGACTAACTGTTTACCTGTAGACTAACTGTTTACCTGAAGACTAACTGTTTACCTGAAGACTAACTGTTTACCTTTTAATTTAACTGTTTACCTGAAGACTAACTGTTTACCTGAAGACTAA